AAAGAAATTGAATAGATGGACCAATGAACAGAATCAAGTACAATTGAAATTACATCCGGTTTCCCCTAGAGGTCAAACTATGAAGCACTTTATAGTCTGTAAACTAAGCAGGTGGAGAGACTTCTGTTCCTCAAGAGGACAGTTGGCCCAATTGTTCAGGGCTTAATGTAATGGCTCCATTCTCCACTAGATGGCGTTGCTTAGCTTACTGGGGTGGATTGTTGTGGCACTTGTGGGTGTGTATGTGAATATGCCAGAGGGTGAAAATGGAGTCACCCAGCTACCCAGTGTCTCTTATCAGAACTCTGTGCTCTCCCCAACCTGCAATCAAGCACATCTCCTTTGTCTCTGGCTTCCATCCACCACCTGCTTCTACACTGTCTGTGACAAAGCCATCAGGCTGCCAGGTGGCACCTCCATCCTGAGTTTTATCTCAATGGGTCTGTTTCCCAACCCCTCATATCTGAGGGACTGCAGCTTTGACTCACTCCCACCCTCTGGGGGAGGGTCTTGCTGAGCAATGGCCAGGTGCTGGTCTGTCCCCAGGAATGTTCATGAGACTGTGCCACTGCCTCTGCCCAGCAACTGTGGCCAGGTGCCAGCCCGCCCCAGAATAAGTTCATGTGATCATATAGCAACAGTGTTTCAAGGATTATGGCAAATCACAACACACATCTGGCACCAGACTTCACCCTTAATGTCCTTGCTCCAAAACCAGCAAATGTGGCCATTCTTTGGGTCCACTGGGACCTTTGTCTTTGTGGAGGCCGCACTGCTGCAAATGTCCTCCCAGCAGGGAACTGCCTCTCCCTGTGTGGCCCAAGGACCCCTTGGACCTCTCTTTCTGCTCCTAGGGATTTGTCTTTCCCCCCAGAGCACCACCAGGTATCGACCTGCAGAGTTTCAGCCTCTGGGCTCCCCCTGTTTATAGAGTCTTAATGGAATTTAAACCCTCTATTTTCTCCTTTCTCCCTTTTTTGTTCAGTCCCTTGTGGCTGTTTTCACTCTCCCTTTTTCTCTCCAGCTACTTTCCAGGTGTGCTTTGCCCATACTCTCCTCCTGCCCCCATTTTCATCTCTCCACAAGCAAAAACAGCTCCCTGCTCTCTGCGGCTTTTCTCTCCCCCAGTTCACCTCTCTGCGCCACATACCTGCTGAGTTCTATGGTTCAGGTTGTGCATATTGTGTTAATCCTCAAATCAGTTTTCTAGGTGTGCAAGAGGGTTTAGTGTTGATCTGGCTGCATTTAAGAGATGAGAGACACAAAAAAAAACCTTCCATGCTGTTCTGCTGTCTTGGCCCCTCCCTTGTAGTTTTCTTCTTTAGTGGAGTCTTTATTTGATTTTGGTATCAGGCTAATGCTGGCCTCAGAGAATGAGTTTGGAGGTTTTCCTTTCTATTATATTTTTGGAATAGCTCGAGAAGAATAGGTACTAACTCTTTAAATGTTTGGTAGAATTCTCCTGGGAAGCCATTTGGCCCTGAAGTTTAGTTTGTTGGGAGTTTTCTGATTACTGTTGCAATTTCTTTGCTGGTTATATGTCTGTGCAAATTTTCTATTCTTTCCTGTTTCAGTGGTGGTAGATTATATGTTTCTAGTAATTTATACATTTCTTCCAGGTTGTCCAATTTGTTGGCATATAATGTTTCATAGTATTCTCTGATTATTGTATTTATGTGGTGTTGGTTGTTATTTCTTCCTTTTCATTTGTGATTTTATTTGGGTCCTTTCTCTTTTCTTTATGATAGGTCTGGCTAGGGGGTTATCTATTTTATTAAATTTTTCAATGAACCAGCTCCTGGTTTCATTGATCTGTTTAAAAATTTTTTAGTTTGTATATCATTTATTTTTGTTCTAATCTTTAGTATTTCCCTACTTCTGGCTTTAGGATTCATTTGTTGTCCTTTGGCTAGCTCCTTTAGGTGTAAGGTTTGGTTGTTTATTTGAGATTTTTCTTGCTTCTTAAGGTAGCCTTATATTGCCATATACTTTCCTCTTAGGAAAAGTATACTGCTTTTGCTGCATCCCAAAATTTTGGACCATGGTGTTTTCATTTTCATTTGTTTCCATGTATTTCTTTATTTACTCTTTTATTTCCTATTTCATCCATTCATTATTTAGTAGCATGTTGTTTATCCTCCATGTATTTGGGCTCTTTCCAGATTTTTTTTTGTTGGGTTGACTTCACATTTTATGGTGTTGTGGTCAGAATAGATGCAATGTATGATTTCAATGTTTTTGTATTTGTTGAGGCCCGATTTCTGACCTAATATGTGACCTATTCTGGAGAATGTTCCATGTTCACTTGAAAAGAATGTGTATTCTGATATTATAAAATGGCATGTTCTGAATATATCTGTGAAGTCCATCTGGTCCAGTGTGTCATTCAAAGCCATTGTTTCCTTATTGATTTTCTGTTTACATGATATGTCCATTGGTAAGTGGAGTGTTAAAGTCCGCTATGATTTTGGTATTATTATTGATTAGTTCCTTTATGTTTATTACACATATATATTTGAGTGTTACCATGTCAGGTGCATAAATATTTATAATTGTTATATCTCCTTGTTGGATTATACCTTTTATGATTATATAGTGCCTTTTTTTGTGTCTTGTTACAGTATGTTTTAAAGTCTAGTGTGTCCAATGTAAGTATTACTACTCTGACTTTCTTTTGACATCCATCTGCATGATAAATATTTCTTTCTCCCTTCATTTTCAGTCTGCACGTGACTTTAGCTATAAAATGAATCTCTTGTAGGCAGCATATAGATGAGTCTTTTTTTTTAAAAATATACTCTCACACTCTATGTCTCTTGATTGGAGCATTTAATCCATTTACTTTCCAAGTAATTATTGATAGATAAGTATTTAGTGCCATTTTATTACTTGTCATTATGATCCATTCTTGGCTGCGGATTTTACCCATTCAGCACTCTGAATGTATCATGCCACTCCCTTCTGGCTTGTAAAGTTTCTGCTGAAAAATTTCCTGCTAGTCTTATGGACTTTTTCTTGTTAGTTACTGTTTTCTTTTGTCTTGCTTCTTTAAATTTGTTCTTTATCATTGTATTTTGCCAATTTAATTACAATAGGTTTTGCTTCTGGTCTGGTTTTGTTGATTTTGATGACAGTTCTCCATGCCTCTTTGATCTGGAGAGGTGTATTTTTTTTCCCCACATTAGGGGAGTTTTCAGCTATTATTTCTTCAAATAAATTTTCTGCCTCCCTTTGTCTCTTCTGCTTTTGGGATTCCTATACTGTGGATGTTATTATGTTTGGTGGAGTCACTGAGTTTCCTAAGTCTATTCTCCTTTTGCACAATTCTTTTTCTCTATTTTGTTCAGCTTGGTTACTTTCCATTACTCTATCTTCTAGGTCACTAATTTGTTCCTCTGCTTCTTTCATCCTGCTGTTCATTCCATTAAGCATGTTTCTTATTTAGTTTATTGTGTCATTTATTTCTTTTCTTTGTTCCTTATATCTTTGTTAAGAGTTTTACTCATGTATTGCACTCTTTTCTCAATTCCAGTGAATCTTCATGATCATTACTTTAAATTCTCTATCAGGCATGTTCTTTTTATCTGTCTCACTTTGATTTTGCTGTTGCCTTGTCCTATTCTTTCAGTTGGGTAAATTTATTTGTCTCCTGATTTTGTCTGCCTCTCTGTGTCTGTGTGTGTTAAGAATGTCAGTTATGTCTTCTGCTCTTGAAAGTAGTGACTTTATGAAGAAGAGGTCCCGGAGTGATTTGCTGTGCAGTGTCTCCTATGCACCAGAACCTGGTACTTCAGGAGAATTATCCTTTGTGTGTTGCTTACATCCTGCTTTTGTGTCTGAACCACTCTTCCTTTCAGTTCAGTCATCTGCACTGACTCTCTGCCTATTGTGGACTGTATTTATTCTCTGTGGCATTAGTGGGACCGAGACAGGGCAGCTCTTAAGGGTTCTGCCTGCTGGGGAACGTGGGGGTGGGGCGGCAGTTTTAGCAAATTTGCCTGGTGCCACTAGTCCTATGCTGGATCCCTCAAAGTGCTGGGGCGTTGGGGGGCTGGGCATTAGGGTGGGAAGTTGTGTGAGACTGGGCACAGCATATGGTGATATTTGGGCATGGCTTGGTCAGGTGTGCCATGGTGGATGTGCACCCAGTAGCTGGGTGGGGCTTGTATGCAGCTTGACAAAATTTTCCCTGGGCCCAGGGCTGAGGCTAGCAGGCTTGGAGTGTGAGTGTCCTCAGAATTTGTGGGCATGGCACATTGCTAGCAAGTTATTTAGCTAGTGTCTGTGCAGTCTGGCCTCCTGCAGATGGCCCTATGTTTATGTTGGCGGCTGGGGAAGGCAAGTGGCACCTGCCATCTCCTTTGTCTTTGGTGAAGTCCCCTAACATGCTCTGAATAAGTATAAACAGCTGTGTCTCCTGTTTACCCCTGGTGTATAAATTGCCATTTTTTATGTTGCTTCTATGCACAGGCTGCTGTCTCTTTAAAGGCAACGACACAGCTATCACTAGCCCTCTGGGCTCACCCAGTGCTGAGCCAGCCAGCAGTTAAAGGTCCAGGTTCCAAGTTCCACTGGTTACAAAAACTCAAGAATTCAACTCCTCTGGTTTTTAAAACTGAACTTTATGGGGATTTGTCTTCCCTGTGTGAACTCCCTGGTGCAAGGACCTATTTCTCTACCCTTCTGCATATGCAGCTCCCTTCCTCCTGTGGGAAGTCTCCCTCCATCATTCTGGCCTGCCTAAACTTTCAGATGCAGCCTCTTCTCTGTATTTAGTTGTGGAGTTTGTTCTGCCAATCTTTGGATCACTCTCTGGTTTATTGACTTGGATGTAGATGATATATATTTGTAAACATGGGATGTAGTGAGCTCAGGGTCCTCCTACTATGTCATCTTCCCAAGCTCCCCCATATTAGCTATTTATTAAGTGGTGAAAAGGCAGACTATAGATGTTATTAATCTTTTATACTAATATGTTGAAATAACCTTTTTTTCCCCAGCTACCAACCTATAGTTGAATATGTAGATGCTCAATTTGAGGCCTATCTTCAAGAAGAATTGAAAATTAAACGTTCCTTCATTGACTACCATGATTCCCGTATACATGTGTGCCTTTACTTCATTTCACCTACAGGACATTCTTTGAAGTCCATTGATCTATTAACTATGAAGAACATTGACAATAAGGTGTGTTAGGTAAATCCATTAACCTGTCAGGATTTGATAATTATTTTATGATAATATATAATTTGAAGGTATTTGCATACAAGAATTTATTATTTTTTAATATGTTTAATATATTTAAAATATGTTTAATATGTTAAAAGGGATAGCATTACAACATGCCACAAACTTAGTAGTTTAAACAACAGAAGTTAATTTTCTCACAGTAATGGAAAGTAGAAGTCCATGATGAAGATGCTGCCAACATTGTTTTCTTCTGAAACCTTTTTTATTGAGTGGTAGACCATCACCTTCCCAATGTATCTTCACATGTTCTGTACTCTGTGCATGTATCTGATGTCTTTTTGTTGTATGTCTATGTTTCCTCTTCTTTTAAGGATACCAGTTACATTGTATTAGCCCCTATTCTAATGGCTTTATTTTAACTTAATCACCTCTTTCAAGATTCTCCAAATACAGTCTTGTTCTGAGATATTGGGTGTTAGGACCTCAACATATGCATTAAGGGAGGAATGATACATTCAGCCCATAATAGCATTTGATAAATTTCAACCTTAGTTTGCTTTACAGATAAATTTAATTAAGTATGTGTTAGGAAAATAAGATACAGGTTAAGAAATATTTTTAAAAAACTTACAAGTTTTTTCTTGTGATTAAAGATCATACAGATTGTGGTAATTTGCCTGTATTTGTAAATTTGAATTTATTCTATTGTACTATAAAACAATCCCATTAACATTTACTTGACACCATTGATTGTGTGAAACATGAAGTTTTTATGATCCTGGCTAATGATCCTATCAGAGGGATTCAGAATGCAGTATGTTCATGTATATTTTTTCCAATAGAAGGTAAATATACATATGAAAGAAACTTCTATTTTATGAGATTCTTTTCTGTACTTTATGAAGTTGAAGAGAGAAGAACTTTTAAAATTTGGTTTCTTTTTATCAAAGAAGGCCTGACTTTTGCTATATATTGTTCAAACTGGAAAGAAATTTTGTACCTAATCATATATGTCACCAAGTTGTTGAAAGAAGTTAGATTTTTATTTAAAATCAAGAGCTGACCTAATTTCTTTATTATTAGTGTATTCAATAGCCTGAGGCACAAAGTTTTATTTTTAATCTTATGGGTAGCTGTTATCATCAAAGAATTTCCAGATATAGAAAATTGCTATTTTTTTCCACAAGGACATTACATAAAGGGGTGGGTAACCATGCCTATGTGTCTGTTGTCTTCTAGGTTGCTCAGTTCCCTTCTGCAATAAGTGACTTTCATTCCTCAAATCTGAACACCTAACAAATTAACATGGAAAATTTCCACTTGTTATGTGTTAAGGATTTACTATCATTAGAGGATAGCTTTCTCAGCAGTATAATCCAAGATATTTATGTTAGACTTGAATCTATCTTAGTAGTTGTCTGTTTTTTACCGTGGAAACTATTATTTAAGTTTCAAAAGCTAGATAAAAATTTGAAGATCAATGTTATATTGAAGCCCTAGATTTGTACAAGGATTTTTAAAAATGTATTTGAAGAATCTAAAACAAAAGCAAAATACATAGAACTGATTCTTATGCATTCACACTATATCACAAGCCTTGACATTATGTAGCTATGATTTAATAAAATATCTTAATTTAACAGTAATAAAACATGTTTTAGAATTTTGCATATTTTTACTTTCTGCAAAGTTTAATTATTAAGATATAAATGCATGGAGACAGGAGGGATCATGTTGTAGAACTATGAAGAAAAGTTTATGAATAAAATTTCAACCTCAAATATGCAATATGGAAATAGTGCCTTTTTGCAAAATATGAATGAAGAGTTTTGTGAGCAAGATATTACACAAATGTATACATACATTCAGCCTTTAGAGTATGGTAACAAAAAAAAGTCTATTATTTTTACGTGGTCTTTGGAAAACAGAAGCAAATATATCTGCAAAGACATGTAGGTAGATCAAGGATCTGTGAAAATGGGACATTGATTAAGATGAATTTATGAAGAAGGTGATGCAAATGAATGACAGGTATATGGACAAAATAAATCTCATATATAGTTTTGATGAAAGGTCTCTTCTGTCTTTTAGCACTCAGTTTAATAAGAAATCAAATCGATAATGAGTTAAATAGACTATTTCATTATACCACTTACATTTTACTAACTCCAAATGTGTTGAAAGTATAAGAAAGTTTGAGAAAAAAAGTTTGAAACTTTTAAACCTGAATTCTGAGAAAAGATTCATCTTCAAAAGTACTGATGATTTTGGGAAGCAATTTTGTGATGAAGGTATGGTAGCCATTGATTATCTAGTTGTAAAAATTTATTGTCAGAGTGAGGTTTTGACTGTAAAAATTCCAGGATTAACAACACATCCTCAATGGTGATATTTTATTTGCTTCTTTATTTACAGGTGAACATTATACCATTGATTGCCAAAGCAGATACAATTTCTAAAAACGACTTACAGAAATTCAAGTGTAAAATAGTGAGTGAATTGGTTAGTAATGGCATCCAGATATATCAGTTCCCAACAGATGATGAAACTACTGCTCAGGTGAATTCCTCAATGAATGTAAGCTTCTAACTATTGAATATCATTTCTATTTTGTGTGGGAATAAAAATATAATTTATAAGTAACAATATTAGTAATAAATTGTCACTCGTATCTGACAAAGAGACTTTAAATAAGGCATTTTCCCCCAAAATTTATTGTGGGAAACCTTGCCTTGTCTTCCCTTCCCCTCCCATCTTTCCTTCCCTTCCCTTCCCTTCTTCTCTTCTCCCACCTGTCAGACCTTGCCACCGATGCTAAGCAACTACTAATCAACTATGTAGATTTTTTTGTTATGGAATTAGCATATGAATAAATTTAATAATATTTGGTCTCTTCGTGTACATATTGGCTATTAGTATGTCTTCCCACGAGAAATGTTTGCTTATATCCTTTTTACAAGGATTGGAAAATGGAAAAAACATCCATTGTTTAATTGAAGTTTTGTCTTTTTTATCATTGAATTGTAAGTTTTTTTATATATTCTGGATACAAGTTCCTTATGAGAAATATGGCTTGCAAGTACTTTCTTCCAAGCTGTTGGTCATTTCCTCACTTTCTTTTTGCTATCATTTGAAACACAAAAGGTTTAATTTTGATGAAGTCCAATTTATGTATTTTTGTTATTGTTACTTGTATCTTTGGTGTCATATCTAAGAATATTTTGCAAAATCCAAGGTAATAAATATTTACGTTCTTCTAAGAGTTTGAAAATTATGGTAAAATACACATAGCATGAAAATTACCATCTTAAATATTCTACACTGTACAGTGGAGTTGTATTATACATTCACATTTTTGTGCTCCCATCACCATTATCGATTTACAGAACCCTTTTCATCTTGTAAAACTGAAGCCCTGTATCTAAGAAACAGTAACTCCACATTACCCTTCCCTTTAGCCCCTGGAAACCACCATTGTACTTTCTATCTATAAATTTGACTACTCAAGGTACTTCCTGAAAACACAATTATATAATATTTGTCCTTTAATGGATGTACAAATAACTCTTTGAATTATTTAGAATATATTCCAAGAAGTGGAATTGTTAGATTTTATGGTAATTATATGTTTAGTTTTTTTTGAAGAACTGTCATACTGTTTTCATAGTGTCTGCACTATTTTTCATTATCAACTATAGTGTGCAAGGATTCCAGTTTCTCTACATCCTAACCAATGCTTGTTATTTTCTATTTTTTTAAATAGCTAATCTTAATGGATATGAAGTGGCATCTCATTGTAGTTTTTATTTGAATTTTCCTAATGATTATGTATGTTAAGCATCTTTTATTGTGCTTTTGGTATTTGTATACTTTCAGTGGAGAAATATGTACATTTCCATTCTATTTAGTTGTCTAATTTGTTGGTGTTCAGTTGTTCATAATATTCATTTATAACTATTTTTATTTCTGAAATGTTGGTAGTAATGTGTCTCTTTCATTTCTGATTCTAATAATTTGAATCTCCTTTTTTACCTTGGTTGATAGAGCTAAAGTTTGGCCAATTTTGTTGTTTTTTTCCCCAAAGAACCCACTTTAAATTTCTTTGATTTTCCTATATCTTATTATTCCTTATGTCATTAATTCCCAATGTAACCAGTATTATTTTCTTCCTTCTGTCTGCTTTAGGTTTAGCTCTTTCTTCTTTTGTAACTGTCTTAAAATGAATGGTTAATTTGTGGATTTGACGTCTATATTCTTTCTTTATAGGGATTTATGGCTATAAATTTCCATCTAGTCATTGCTTTGGCTACCTCACACAATTTTTTTTAGTATTTTTATTGTATTTTATTATTATTTTTATTGTTTTTATTTTAATTTCAACATATTTAACATATAGTGTTCTATTAGCTTCAGGTGTACAATATAGTGATTCAACAACTCCATTCATCACCCAGAGCTCATCAGGACAAGTGTACTCCTTCATCCCCATCGCCTATTTAACCCATCCACTACCCAACTCTCCTCTGGTAACCATCAGTTTGTTCTCTATAATTAAGAGTCTCCTTCTTGGTTTCTTCCTCCCTCTTTTTTCCCTTTGCTCATTTGTTTTGTTTCTTAAATTTCACATTAATGAAATCATATGGTATTTGTCTTTCTCTGATTTATTTCACTTCTCATTATACTCTCTAGCTCCATCCATGTTATTGCAAATGGCAAGATTTCATTCTTTTTTATGCCTGAAAATATTCCATTGTATATATGTATATATGTGTATATGTATATCTCTATCATTTACCTATCATCCATCTATTGTCTACATATCTATCACTTGCTCTTTATTCATCAATCGATGGACACTTGGGCTTCTTTCAAATCTTGACTATTATAAACAATGCTGCTATAAACATTGGGGTGCATATATCTCTTTGAATTAGTATTTTAGTATTCCTTGAGTAAATACCTTGTAGTGTGATTACTGATAAGTGTGATTAACTTTTTGAGGAACCTCCATACCATTTTCCACCATGGCTGAATCACTGCATTCTCACCAAACAGTGCACAAGTATTCCTTTATTTCCACATACTTGCCAACACTTGTTTCTGACAGGTGTGAGATAATATACCATTGTAGTTTCGATTTGCATTTCCCTGATGAATGATGTTGAGCATCTTTTCATGTGTCTGTTGACTATCTGAGTGTTTTCTTTGGAGAAATGTCTGTTCATATATTCTGTCCATTTTTAATTAGATTATTTGTTTTCTTGGGTGTTGAGTTTTATAAGTCCTTTATATAATTTGGATACTAAACCTTTAGCAGATATGTCATTTGCAAATATCTTCTCCAATTCTGTAGCTTGGCTTTTAGTTTTATTGTTTTCTTTCCTGTACAGAAGCTTTTTATTTTTTAATTTTTATTTTATTAAAAACTTGTTTTTAATGTTTATTTTTGAGAGAGAGAGAGAGAGGAAACGAGCAGGGGAAGGGCAGATAGAGGGAGACACATAATCTGAAGCAGGCTCCAGGGTTGAGTTGTCAGGGTAGAGCCCCACGCAGGGCTCAAACTCACAGACTGCAAGATCATGACCTGAGCCAAAGTCAATAGCTTAATTGACTAAGCCATCCAGGTGTCCCTGCAGAAAGTCTTTATTATGAGGTAGTCCTACTAGATTATTTTTGCTTTTATTTCCCTTGCTTCAGAGGACATATCTAGACAAATGTTGCTATGGCCCATGTCAGAGAAATTATTGTCTATGCTGCCTTCTTGCTTTATGGTTTCAGGTCTCACGTTTAAATCTTTAGTCCATTTTGGGGCACCTGGGTGGCTCAGTTGGTTAAATGGCTGACTTCAGCTCAGGTCATAATCTCATGGTCCGTGAGTTCGAGTCCTATGTTGGGCTCTGTGTTGACAACTCGGAGCCTGGAGCCAGCTTTGGATTCTGTGTCTCCCTCTTTCTCTGCTCCTCCGCTGCTTGTGCTCCGTCAGTCTCTGTCTCTCAAAAAAATGTTTAAAACATTTTTTTAAATCTTTAGTCCATTTTGAATTTATTTTTATGCATGGTGTAAGAAAGTGGAACCAGTATCATTCTTTTGCATATAGCTGTATGCTTTTCCAAACACTTTTCCAAACACCAGTGGCTGAAGAGACTATCGTTCCTTTTTGTGTGTGTGTGCTATTTATTTATAATTAAATTTTTATTTTAAATTTACATCCAAACTAGTTAGCATATAGTGCAACAATGATTTCAGGAGTAGATTCCTCAGTGCCCCTTACCCAT